TCCAATGGTTCCTTCAAGGCTCAAGCAAGCACCTCGCACGCTGATCCTAACTCTCGTCATCACCTTCATTTCGGGCGCCAACTTTTTCTCCATTCTAATGTTCTGGCCCACTCAGGCATTTAATGTCTACGGGCATGATCCCATCGGAGTTGGCATCCGAGGTATCCCTGTTGGATTCTCCATTCTTGCTGGTGCAGTCATTGTTCTTTGGTGTCTTTCGGTATTCAGGGGCCGCAACAAGGAGTTGATGATTATCAGTTCTATCCTCATGACAGCAGGTGAGTTTTTAATGCTATATGCTAATGATGCTAGAGTGAATAATATCTAATATGAGATGCAAACAGGGTGCGGAGCTTTGGCTTATGCAGACCGATTCAACCTCCACAAGCTCTGGGGTATACTCGTCCTCGCCGGTCTTGGTATTGGCGGTATTGTGGTGCCGGCGTCCATCATCACCATGATTATCTGTCCCGATGATCTCATCGCTACTGTCGCCGCCCTCACTCTGTCCATCCGCGTGATTGGTGGCTCAGTAGGCTACTGTGTTTACTACAACGTCTTCATCTCGAAGTTTGTCCCGAACGCTGTCAAGATGATTGGAGGCACTATGATCGAGCTCGGTATCACGAACGCCACTTATATTGAGGAAGCCATCGGCTACACCGGTGCCTCTCTCTTGCCCCTCCTACAAACTATCCCTGGAATCGGGACTAATGAAACTGCTTACAACATGGTGGTTCTTGCGGGTCAAGAAGCCTATGCTGCTAGTTATAAGTATGTCTACTATGCTAGCATAGCATTCGGTGGAGTGAGCATCATTGCAGCGTGCTTCTTGGGTGATATTTCCAAGTTCATGGATGACCATATTGCTGTTGTGATGTAAGTGGGAACACATATATTGGATTATGAGAAACCTATATGAAAATTAGTTGGATGATCCGGACCTGTATGTATTATAGGTTGGATATCCCAAGTATGATATATAAACTATTATAATTGGACATATATTTACGAATTATTTGATATGCATGAAACTTGTAGTGGAAGAGATTATAGGTGAGGATACAAAACTTTGACGGGCAAGGAACTCTGGACATCCAACATGAGAATCAAGTTACTGATTCCAATCCGCGACGTCTTATCCTTTAATCCAAGTGAGTTATAACCTACTGTCTACGGGCCGAAACATGTGCTTATGTCACTCTGCAAGTACCCCTGACAAGCTGCGGAGCTGTGTCCCCTTTAAACTGTGAATGCAGGCGACCCATTTATGGTAGGTTATACCTTTGCACCATGCTCAACAACCCATATATTTCATGGAAAGAAATACAACTACAATAATAGTAAATTTGATCAAACAACTGTCTTTGATTATACGCCCTTTATAACGAAAGAAAGTAGACAATTCTTGGAGAACTTAGGTGGCAAGCATCAATCTGACGATTAGATCTGGCAGTACCGTGACACCTGGATATAGCCTTCCTGGCCTCACACGGCACCATGGGTGGTCAGAACCAGCAAGGCCAGTATTATGCCTTGCACCACAAAGAGCAGTTACGTTACACTCTTGTTCGTGCAACGGGAGTATCTATCCCATAGAGACTTCATATCACTATTACATATCTATATCCCAGTTGCTCCCACTATTTCCTTTCAGTCGAAGCTACACTCCTCAACAACCATATTAACAGATCATCTCACTGATATTCAGATATAAATGGCGAGTGGATCAACCATTGATGCCGAGAAGTTTGCACAGACAGAGCGGAAGTACGCTGAGGAACGTGATAAGCGGCTTCGTCTAGAAGGAGTGTCCCAGTACGTGGACCTCTTGACATCAGAAAAGCTCAAGCGTTTCCAGACAGATCCGTGGTCCACTTCCGAATCTCCTCAAGAGAGAGCTGCTCTCAAAAATGGTGACCACTGTGGAGTTTTGATCATTGGATGTGGCTTCGGCGGACTTCTCTTTGCCGTACGACTTATACAAGCGGGAATTCCAGTCTCTCAAATTCGCATGGTGGATATTGCGGGAGGATATGGTGGAACCTGGTACTGGAACCGCTATCCTGGTGTTATGTGTGATTGTGAGAGTTATATCTACATGCCTCTTTTGGAAGAGATGGGTTACATGCCAAAGAACAGATACGCCTACGGCCCAGAAATCAGGGCATATGCAGAAAAGATCACAGATAAATATCAGTTACGGGATAACACCCTCTTTCAGACCAAGGTCGACGGTTTCCATTGGGATGATAGCGCAAATGAGTGGATCGTTGAGCTCACGAAATACCCTGGCTCTAAACGTGAATCAAAGATCACGGTTCATTCGCGTTTTACAATGATCGCCCCTGGCGTCCTCAATAATCCCAAAATGGCTCATCTCCCAGGTGTTGATGAATTCCAAGGCCCTATTTTCCACACTTCCAGATGGGATTATAGCATTACCGGTGGCTCCCCTACAGATCCTTCTCTCACGAAACTCAAGGATAAGAGGGTTGGAATCATTGGTACTGGCGCAACTGCCGTCCAGTCAGTTCCACATCTTGCTGAATGGTCGAAAGAGCTTTATATCTTCCAACGTACACCTTCAGCAGTGGATCGCCGTGACAATTATCCGACAGATCCGAAAGTGTGGGCAGAAGAAATTGCAAATAAAAAGGGCTGGTTCAAGGAGAGAGCAGAGAATTTCAACGCGCATATTTCCAATGTGGTACCCAAGCCAGCGGTGAATTTGGTGAACGATTCCTGGTCCAACATACCCGCATTCAGTGCATTGGTTGGAGGTCCCGTCACTGTGACACCGGAGGCTATCCCAGAGTTTATTACTTCGCTGCATACTCTTGACTTTCCGCGCCAAGAGAGAGTGCGCGAGAGGGTTGACGAAATCGTGAAAGATAAAAATACAGCGGCAAAGTTGAAGCCATGGTATCCATCTTGGTGCAAGAGGCCCTGCTTTCATGATGAATATCTCCAAACCTTCAATCGAGATAACGTCCACCTTGTGGATACAGCTGGGAAAGGCGTGACATCCATATCTGAGAACGGGATCCTCGCTGAAGGAAGGCTATATGAATTAGACATCATCATCTTCAGCACAGGATTCCGACCTCCTCCAATTGGCACCCCCGCAAGTCGTGCCAACATTGAAGTGACGGGTCGGAATGGACGGAATCTAAACCAGAAGTTCGAGGAAGACGTCGGAACTCTTCACGGAATAATTACTCGTGACTTTCCCAATCTATTCTTCTTTGGCCCACAGGCAGCTGCTACGGCAAACTTCACGTTCGTCCTCGACGTCGTCGCGACTCACGCTGCTTATATCATCAACGCCTCGGCGAAAAAGCTATTCAACAAGAATGGAAACTATAACTTCATTGTTGAACCTACGCTAGAAGCAGAGGAAAGGTGGACTGCTGAAGTTGTGGCCCGTGCCGCATGCCTTGCGGGAGCCTCTGGTTGCACACCCAGTTATTTTAATAACGAAGGCGAGACGGATCGTATACAAGGGATGGAAGAGAGAATAAAGGCAGCAAAGGGAGCTATTTGGGGTAGAGGTATTGCGGAGTATGATAGTGTCATTGGAAAGTGGAGGAATGAAGGTAAATTGGAAGGGCTTGAGATTACACCCGTTTCGTAAAATCTCTGAATAAGGACTTGTAAAAACACAGATATACGGGGGTATAAGCAGCCAGTTCAACTGGGGTTCTCCTTTTGTTCTGAGAGGACTTTCTCAAAACTGCTAAAACTGTTTACGCATCACATGGCTGTATGTCAAGTTGCCGTTCCTTTTGTTCAATCCCGGCCTTAAACCAGATCAGATATTATCATATTCAAATAGTACTTCTTTGCCTTGTAGTGTACAAAGTTTTGAGAGCACTACTAACGGCATAGTTTTGAGGAGAGAGCAAAGGAATTTGAAAAGGAGACTGTTCGGCTTTATGAGACGAGTTCAAGAATATGTACCCCACCTGGTTTGATTCGTTAGAAGGAAATATCAACCATATAACCAAAAAAAAAAAAATTCTAGTACAGCTGTACGTAGATAGTGGATACTCAAGATTGATCTAATAGGATAAAAAATAAAACAAAGGAGAATCCCAGATCATTTTCTACCCCAAAAAGAAAAACACAATCCTCCCCGAGGTGGGCTCGAACCACCAACCTCCTGATTAACAGTCAGACGCGCTAGCCAATTGCGCCATCGGGGATGTTTGATGTCACTTGCACGCTTATTTTGACTGGTGAACCTAATGCATTTAGCCGTCCCGATTGTAACGTAAGTTGTGGTAGGGTCGCTTTTTTCTGTGTCGTGAATAGTAACCAATTAGGGCTGCGCAATGTGCCAGTGCGGCTCGAGGGAGATTGAGGGGCATGAGGGGTACATACGTCTCGCGCATCTTGTTCTAGATTCATTATCTACTGGAGAATGAAAGGGCGTATTGTACCACTAACGTATTTTTGAGCTTGCAGCAATCTGTTCTCAGCGGTGCTCTGCATATTTGTAGCTATATATCCTAGAACGATGTCGACATAAAAGCAAGTCTATAGCTTGGCCTCTTTTATAATCTGTCGAGGAGTAGAGGGATTATCACTATCTAAGAAATCAAGTTATATACTAGATATATACAACTTTCCTAGATTGGGCCAAGCTATTATAATGATCATATTATGTTAGGCGAAGGATAATCTCTGAAATATTAATTCAATTCCCAAAAAAAAAAATCGGATCTTTGAGCCAAGTCCAAAAAGACACCGGAAGGACCAAGACTGGAGGACTTAATCTATATATCCTACACATATCAAGATATAGCTATATATTTGTATATAAGACAAGCAGCAAAAACCTAGGACGCTATGTAGTTTCAGTAACATCCACAGTAGTACATATCGAAGCCACTCATGCTCATTACGATCCTTGCAAATATCCTTGGTTTTCTCTGTTATCTTATCTTAATAATTTTCAATAAGCGATGCGGTATCAAACACTTGAAACATACACTGGTGATGTGGTGTAATGGTAGCACGTGACGTTGTGGCTAACAGCCTAGGCGCAATCCCGTTTCAATCTGGGTTCGATTCCCAGCATCGCCAAATTTTTTTGCGTTTCATATTCTTGGTGCTTATATTCTTTTTTTCTATTTTCCTGGCTGGTAAAGGGCTTGGCAGACCCTTATATCTTTTTTTACGCCAGTGTTTGCTCTTTTTACTAAGCTCTCGGCTCTGCATACTCTTCTCGTCTCACTATTAATGCGGGGGTGTCAGAACAAAGAAATAGGGGTATAAGCAGCCAAGCAACTGGGGTTCTCCTTTTGTTCTGAAAGGGGGTAACAGGTAGGGACAACAGTAATTAGGTATAGACAAATAGGTTTGTAAGGTCTTTTCTCTTCTTTTCTTTGTATATATATACATTTCCCATTGATTAAAGTTAGAGTTTAATGTGCTTTTTCGATAACTTGGAGAATGGAGGCTGGATGACCCTCTGATAGCTCGAATGGATTAATATCGTTAATATCATACGTGTTTAATCCCCAATCTTCCAGCTGATCTTTTTGCCAAAGAGAGTCGCCATCTTGTCGTAAGAAAAGTGCATATCCTTCAACATCGCGAACACTATTAGGAAGTAAACTGACACTCGCGCCCACCAAAAATCGTGGCTTCATCCTTCTGAATTATCCCATGGTTGTATAGATCTCTATAGACCAAATTTATATCATGAATTTTAAAGATTTGGTGAACTGGGAGGTTCTTACATCCACGCTTCATGAAACGATTCCCTAATCCGATCGCGCTCTTCTCGAGGTCTTGTCCAGAAGTTCCCCATCGCAACACCAGGAAGCTTTTCCATAAAAATCCAAACCAAATAACCTCCTGGAAGGGGCATCTCCTCAATTTGCCTCTCGACCACCCAGCCAAAGAGCCGTGGAGATGACCTAAACAAGGGCCCTCTATTTGCTTAGCAATATATACCGCTTTTGCCTCGCATGGAGGAACTTCACAAGAATTCTCTGAGAGCTTTTCTATCAACTGGCACTTAGTACCTCTTACATAGAGAATCGCATTGTCAAACTTCTTATCGATCCATTCATGTTTGCAGGCTCGACCCATACCAGGGAAACCAAAGGAGGAGAAGCTATCCAAATACAGATTTCAAATTTTAGTGCACAATTATTACGCAGTTGGTGCTTAGCACTGGTGTTCGACTTTTTGAGGTAATCCAGAGCAATCATATTGTTAGAAAAGGGAAAGGTGAAGTTCGCTGAGTCTTATCGCTAACCGATATACGCTAAAAGGAATATGATAACCCAATGTTCTCATAATCATGTCATTTCATCTCCTACTAAGTCAACTTGACTTTCTTAATTTCTTCGACTGCGTTATGTTTGGATCATTTAACATCTAACACATCTAGTTGAGACCTCATCCCACCATTTCAGCTGTTCAGGACTAAGGAGTTGGCGCGGTAGCATATTCTCACTACGAAGCCTTTACCAGTATTCACCACTCAGCTGGACAACTTAACTAGACTTTCTGCCTGTTGATACCTGAATTAATGCCTGAAATATAGGCAGTTTCAGTTGAGGGGGCTGTCCGGTTGAGTGGTGGGTGAATACTGGTATGAGTTATCTTGTGCGAAACTAATATTCGATCAGAATCGATTCCTTGATGCCTTTTGCAAACGGGCAGAAGCAGCGAAGTGGATCTGTAAGTGACCCCAGTGCTGACTTATCTTGTATGAAGTCAATTGTAGAAATACAATTTAGCCTCTATCGATCTGTTTCAAGGGTGGAGGATGGGCAGCATGACAATTAAGCTTCAGCTGACGGATTGCTGCCGCGTGTGACATAATATCCAAATGCTTATTTTTCGTCTGCTTGAATATAAAGTTCATATCTGGCATATAGCAATGCAACTTCCCGCCAAATGTTCACAAAATCAGATTCAAAAGTAATCTGGTTTATCGAGGGCAGCAAAGCTCCTATCTCTCTTCCTTTATAATATCCCTTGACTCAAGCTCTATTTTACTACCACTATGGAAAGTCAACTCCTAAGTACTTGGAATCAGATAGCGCCTAGAGGGTACATCCGCCAATGTTACTGTTTCCCATGTCAATACGATGCAAGTCCCGAAGCCCTCAGGACGCACCTAGCCGTGGCTCTTGGTCGATTATCAAAGCAGTTCCCGGATCTTGCTGGTAGGATATTCTTCATGTCTAGCAATGCGGGCCGTCTGTGTATTGGCTTAGATAACCGTGCCGAAATCCCACTCAAAATCTTTGATCAGCGGGACTCCTTTCTCTGGACTTATATCCAGCTCAAAGCTGAAGGTTTTCCGGCAAGAGCTTTTGTCGATAATTCTTTCGATCTTCCATACCAGCTACTAGAAGATCAACAAGGCATCCCGGTATTTGAGGTCCATGCTAGATTGATTAGAGGTGGTTTACTATTATGCATTTACGGACATCATTCTATCTCTGATGGCACCGGTATGGACAACTATGTCAAGTATTTTGCAGAGTTCACCAAGGACCTAGCACGAACCCTTGGAATCCAGGATACTGGCAATATTCATATCGATCTCCCTGATCGACTTACCGAGGGTTCTCAGCTGGATCTTAAGTCAAAGACGTTTTATGAGCTTCTTGAGCTTTGCACCGAGTATTGCCGTCTTCCATCTCCCACCGGCCCGACACAATTTCATATGCGGCCCATAGACACACCATTGGAGAGTATACAAAAGACGGGCCGTATATTTGTCATTAGATCCCAACAGGTCAATAGACTCAAGAAAAGGCTTACGCGGATATATGGCTCCAACCCTATCGGACGTGTACCTTCAACATTTATCTGTCTCGCAGCAATTACTTGGGCTCACGTCACAAAGGCTCGCCTATCCACTTCGAAAAGCCTTCTCTACTCACCACTGGATAGGACGTCCTCACTATCTGAGCGAGCGCGCCTCATGATCTCAATCAACTGGCGCCGCCGTGCCTTCACCGATGTTATGAGACTCAGTGCCGGCAACACCGTCGCCCTCCCTATTACTCTCATCGATACCAACATCATCTTCGCAGCATGTAGCAATGACGAAGATGCGGCGTATAATGCTCTAGGCACTATTACCCGCGCCATTGATGCATCTATACTTAACGTGGATGAAGACTTCACGGTCCTGCGTACAGCACTCTTCCGGGCAGCTCCAGACCCGCGATTTATTGGGCTTGATTTCGACTTACAGGATCCTTGCAATTTCTATTTCAACACGTGGCAGCACTTTGGAGTCGATACACGCTGGAAGTTGCCAGGACTTGGGAAGGACGGTGCCATCCCGGATGCGATGCGCAGAGCTCAGGCAGAGTGGAGCATGGGATCTGGTTTGCTATTACCGCGCAGAAGAGACAGCACCGAATTTGAGGTACTAGTGACGTTGCACGTTGATGAGATTGTGGCCTTATGTTCAGAGCCAAGTTGGCAGAAGTGGGTGGACAGGGTTGTTGAATGAAGAGTTATCATGGACTTATAGATAGACAAGATGTATTGGAAACGACAGAAATGAAGATAAAGGTACTCTTTTTATCAATTCACAACCTCTTGAAAAGTCTAAGAGTAAATTGTACGAACAAGATCCGGACAAGAGAAGTGGTTTATGCTCTGTTCAACACTATTTTTATAGAAACTGAGATCTCACACTACTACTCCATAATGTAGCTCCCACTCCATCAACAACCCACTTGGTCGGATCACCTCAAACTTACTGTGAAATCCTCCGAAGCTGGCCTTTATCAAATTCAACAGCTATTAGAAGTCACGGATCCGAGGAATTGCTGATCCCTGAGGACTAGTCTCTAGGATTTTATTCTTCCATGATTATGTATAACATTGAGATATTGACGGTCGTACTGTACGGTGTTATTTGTATTTTTATTATGAACTTACCGCCTTAGTTTCCACTGTCATGTGCTATGGTAGAGTCCCATTCACTAGAGAGAGCTTTCCAAGCTCCAACTATGACTCAGCGGAAACCAATCACACGATATCGGTATTCACTCAATTAGGAACAAAATTGGGTAGGGGACTAACAGTTTAAGAAATTCTTGCTCCCACCATAAAACGATCTTTCCCACTACGTCTCTTCCACCCCTGCTTGACAATTAGATTTATCACTACATTCCTCTGTTATTGGAGTATACACTCCTCCCAAAGTCCACAGCATGGATCCAATTGGGCTTGATTCATCCCAGCACGAAGATCGTTCGCAGTGCTGCATTGGCCCAGTATACGTTGCGCCGTCCGAAATTCCAGAACTCTATGATATTCCACTGTCCAATATCAATAAGGAAACTCTTCACGACGAAACCTCCAAAGTACTAAGCCAATCATACCTCTCAGAAGCGCCAAGACTCTTCGAACCAATACATAAAAATCACTGACATCATTTGGGGTATAAACCGTCATCCACTTTCTGTATAACAGCAGCTGTCCGCATGTATTCCTATCTCACAAGGCACGCGGAAATCCTTGGACCTAGGCGCTTTACTAATGCTTTCTAGACCTGTGACATACTATTAGTCATAGTTAATGGCCAGCAAACTATGATATCCCGCTCTAACCCAGACTCTCACTTCGAAGAAGTAAGCATTTTAGGCGGCAGCTGTTGCACTTGGCTGGACGAAAGTAAGAACAGGGCTCAAACTGAAGGAATGTAAGACTTTTTATGCGTGAAAGAGATACCAATAAAACGATGGATCGTTGAACCCAGTAAGAGAAAAAAAGGCAAACGTATTATAACCAAAGACATCCATGGTTTTTATCTAGGAAAAGTCTGGAGCTTTTGCGTTATTCGGAGGACTTACACTTCAACAGATCCTCAGCATCCCGAACAATTGATCGGAGAAGCTGTTGCACGATTAAACTCGAGGCGAATCTACTGTCGTTTCACTGATTCTGAATTGAAGTCTTATACCGAATTATCTCAGCATCCACTATCAAAACTCATACGTGTTCTCCCTGACGGAAATCTCGCATGGAATCGACGTTATCATCGTCAACTCATTCTTTTGTCGATATGGATCGGATTTAATTGGATAAACCAT